TTGTTGAGAAACAAACTGTTGGTAGTGTGCCTGCCGCTGGTAATCTGGATCGACATTGATCCAATTATTGGCAACCCACTTAGTCCCTTGTGTCACCACACAGCCACCATGAAGAGAATACTCATCCTGTTCACCAACCCAACCTACAGAGGGCAGCACAGCACAACAAGATAATGAACAACATTTTCTAGATACAGTAACTTCTTAAAGTGGGTTCAATCAAGTGACATTTAAACAAATTTATGACTAAATGTAACTCCACAAAATGCCCTCTGGATCTTTCTGAAATCATGCTGGAGATGGATTTATAGATTTTGAACAAAGTTGTGTAGTTCATTCCAGCTTGAATGCTGCTATCATTAAAGAAAATGGGAACTAAGACGTTCTGAAATTTAAACAAATATTTAAGTTAAACTTTTCACTCAAGTTGTTATGGTAATAATACAATTTGTAATGAAAAAATGTTAAATTCAAAAAGTCATGCTTCTGAACTACTGTATCTACAGTACTACAAGTTTGTTATTTATCACAAATTCAAACATTCAGTTAAGCGGAGTAACAACTTCCAGAAACTTTTTTATATTTTTATATCACAGCATGATGTTTTGTATCAAACAATGATCAGGCAGATAGCATTTATGGATAACAAACGACACACTGATATTACACTACCATTATGTTTCACTTAACTTCATTCCAAAACAGTGTTATTTTAGTATTATTTATATACCATTATAATATTTATTAATAGTTTGAATTCGCTTTTATTTTGGGAATTTTTATGTGCTTTTGTCATTTTTTTATTACTTATTAAATATTTCTACATAGCTTTGTTTTTAATAGTTTTAGTAATTTTAGTACTTCAGCTTATTTCTAATTTTCATTTGTTTCAAGTTTCTCATCTAATATTTATATTTTATTTCAGCTTTACTTCAATTACATAAAAAGATTTTTAATCATTTTATTAACAATAAAACAATGCATTACAAAATAGCAGATAAGTTATATCCATTACCTCTACCATCAGAGAGATAGTTGTACCAGAAAACTGCCGTCCCCTTAATGGGCTTCACTCTCAGGTTGCCTTTATCACAATGTTTCCTGGTGTCCAACAGATCCACATCGTTCTGTATCAGTGACTGGGAAACACATGGATACGTGTATCCAATTATTGGCTGTGGCATATGCGTAAAATTGTGCAAAATTCTTGTGTTTGACTCACAAATACACACGCAAAGATGTTTAATTAAATAGGACACACCGCTTCTTCATAAGTCCTATTATCTGCCACTGGAAAGGTAGTCTCCCCCCCTTCGTCTACATTATTAAGGTAAAACAGAACTGTGATGTACCTGCAAAAAAAA